AAAAAAAATAGGGTTTCCATTTGAAAATATGAAGTTTTAAGCATAAGGGATAATGGTAGAAATTAAAATTTTTTTATGAAACACCTCATCAAAGATCCATAATGACAAAAAAAAAAAAAATTGTTAATAACAATTTTATTATTTAAGATATTACGTGAAACATAGTTAGCCGATCAATCTGTATTTATGTATGAATATTAAAACCATAAATGATGAGTAATTAATATAAATTTTAAACTAACCAAAACCATAGGTTTTATTAGTCTCTGTCTTTTTTGCAGCTTGTTCTGCTGCTTCTAAACCAACTAAGTGCTGATACTTTTCTTTATAATTATATTTAGGTTTATCTTGATTTGTTCGTTTTTGCATCATACGCTTCTGTTCATCTAGCATTTCATCAATTTTTTCTTGTTCTCTCTACAAAAATTGAAATTATTTTAATACATTTAATTTTGTTTTTAAAGGCAAAAGAAAAAATATATACTTGTGCTGCAAGTCTTTTGGCAATTTCTTCATTCCACTCTTGTCCATTTCTCAGAGCATTTAATTCATCTTCACAAGGAGGAGATTCTTTTTTAAATATCATGATATACCGATCAACTTCTTCTTCTCCAAATGAGTATGCTAACATACCAGCATCTTCAGAAATTTCATGCCTAAGGAATTATTTCATAGTAGTTAAAACATATTTGTAACATATAAAATGAAATATTAAATGTTTATAATTACACAATATTTCGAAGAACTTTATCTAAAGTAGGAAATTTCAATCTGGTTTGATAATCATCTTGGGCAAATGCAGTAACTTTTATCTCAGTCTAAAAAAAAAGAAAGAAACAAAATATATATTTTTAAAAAATAATTTTATTATTCAATTTTTTAACCAATAGAATTCTGATTTTCATTTTAAGTTCACTCAATAATTTATCCATTAGTTAAATAAATAAACATTGTGACACATAATTTACTAATGACGTTATTACTAATTTTTATATAAATTTAAATGATTGATTGATTGTTGCAAATTAAATATAAATTTGAATAATATTTGTAAAAGTAAATGATTATTGCTATATTTTTATTAGGTCAATGTTGTTTTGCAATAATTATTTATAAAGGAAGTATAAGATTTTATAGTCTACAAAAATATTAAATTTTATTGAATAGTTATTAAGCCTAATGAAATTTCATATATATTGCTATAATCTACTTTAAAAGTATCTATGGTTCAAAATTAATTAAATATTAAAACTATATAGTTATATAATTAGTAAATTTTAAATGTTTTAATTTATCATATAACTAAATGATTAATTTACTTCATGACGAAATTGTAAAATTCGAGCTTTTTCTTTGTTCTGCTGTTTTAAAAATGCTTCTTGGGCCTCTGTAACAACAAAAATAAATTATAACATATTTTGAACTTATGAAGTATAAATTACAATAAGAACAATAATCAATAAGAAACTTATGTTCCAAATATATTATCATGTACAACCTAATTATCTTACTTTTTTGTCGTAATTTTTCTTTTGTGTCAATTGTAGGAGGTTTGTCCATTGAATTCATGATTGACCCCAAAAGATCCATAATAACTACAAATTAAATAATTAGCTTCGGCAGTATTTATAAAATTCAAGAACAATTAAATACTTCTCGCTAACTTTAAGTAACTTAAGTTAATTTTTAAAAATTTGTTTAAAGAACAAAAGGTTAAAAAAACTGTAATGTTGAGATGATATAACGAAATTTGTTCGTTTATTTCAAAATTCTACAAATTGTTATTTTTCTGCTCTAATTTTTCCTTGAATTTAAAACTAATAAATATTACTAAGATTTTGTCTTTATGATTATTTTTTTCCAAATACAGTGCATATAACCTTCCAAGTTTATAAATTTTGTGTACACTGTATTTCGTTTAGAAAATGAATCAGTGATATGTGATAACTGTATTATCTGAACATCTATCATCGAGATAGTATTTCTTTATCTCTATGGCACCAATAAACTAAAATTGTTATTAGGTCTATGTATCTAAGGATAAAAAATGATAAGCATGTGGTTTCATACATAAATAATAGAAACGATATAATATACTTTGTTAGCCAAATTTTTTTGTTTATTGAAAATTTAAATACTATTTATTTTTTTAACTTGTATATTGATTAGCCAAATAATAAATAAATTACTTTATTTTCCGATTTTCTTAAATGGAAATATCAAACTTAGAAAATTACCCAGTTTATATCTTAAATGTTACGCCAGAATTATCTCAAGATACCAATGTTGAATCTTCTATGCCCATGACAACATGTGAAACATCGTCGTATAATTTTTACATTCCAACTGTTGAACAGCTTCATCAAAGATGTAATGTAATAAATACATCATTAAATTCAGTTAAACAAAAAAATAAACGTGTTGGATTGTTACCACAATCCAAAACTATCCAAAAAGTACTGAAAAATAATTTTAATCAATCCTTGTAAGTAAATAAATTTTAATATTAATGTTTTCAAAAATTATTAATTTCACAATTCTCTTTTAGCTATATTGTAGTTTTATTTATATAATAAAACAGTTTATAATTTTTTTCTTAAATTTATAGTATAATTAAAAAGAGGATTTTTAAAATATAACATGCATAGAAATATGTTAATACTCAAGAATATTATATGTATATTTGTCTTAAATATAAATATGTTGTTTTCTTGGATCTAAATTAAAAAATCACTAATTTACAATATTTAAATTTAAAAGAAAAATTCTGATTTAATGAATTATTGTTATCAATTTTCTTTGTATGTATTTATTGGAAAATAAAATGTTTAATTTAAATTCAGCAATTTTATTATACATATATTTTTTTATTACATTATAATAAATTATAATTTAAATCTAGAAAAACTGAAGAAGTTATCTCAGATAAAACTATTGCTGACTTAGGTGTACTACTTAATGATGAAGATATTGTTAATAAAAATAAAAAAGTAATAAAATATGATCCAAAAACAAATACCAATGTAATATTCAAGTAAGTCACACTATTTAGGTATTAAAATTAAATTTTACTTTAATTTAAATTTAATTTGTTATCTTTAAATTTCTATAGTTTAGTAAATCCTAAACTCCTAACAGAAACAGTTAAAATAAACAAAATTAAAAGAGGGCGTCCACGTAAAGAAGATAAACAAATATTATGTAATAAACCAAAATCTAAGGATTACTCAAAAAATGAAAAAGAGGTAGATAAATTTTATAATAATCAAAAAAAAATACTTAATAATTTTGATTTTTAATACTATTTATTATCTAATGAAAATATAATATTAATTAGATAGTTGAATGTTTATTAACTACTAAATTTGGGCGGTTATCCAAACCACCAGAATATTTATTAAATGGAAAAACACTTATGGAAATGCCTAGAAAAAGTCAACCTATTATTGATAATAGCGGTAATTATACAAGTCATTTTAAATTCTTAATTTTTAAATCAACATTTTTAGTTTTTTTAACAAAAGTCTATCTCAAAAGTCATAAAGCAAGTTTATTTGAAACTTGTGCTCATTAAGATATACAAATTGTTTTGACAACTTGGATTACCATTCAATAAATTGGTGATATCTGACAATTAAATCCTTGCATATTATTCAAAACCCACTTTTTTAAAAACTATATTTTTATTTTGAAAAGTTTATTCTCTAATCGTTAATATTTCACAATTTTTGATTAAATATGTTATATATAAGGGAACAGATAGATGTAACTTGGAAGTCATGAAATATAAATCACTTATAAATAATACTTATCCTTAAAACAAATATCATATTCAAGTAACTTCATATTGAAGATCTCATTGCTTTTAGTTAATTAATTTGTTCTGCATTTAATATACAATTTTCGTTATTACAATGTTTGTTTTTCACTTTTTATAATATAAGTTAAATTTAATGAAACTATATTTAGATATTATTGGAAGAAAAAAAGTGAAGTATAATGTAAAATCTGATTTTGTATGTGGCGTGTGTCACAAAACATATTTAGGACATAAGCGAATGAAAGAGCATTTAGAAAAATTTCCTTCACACATAACTAATTCAAATGATAATCAAAATTTTGAATCAGAACTTCAAGATATTTTTCAAGAATTTAACGAACCAATACTTAATGGTAAATATTGGATATATTTTATAAAAAATGTTATTGAAAAATTGTATAATATATATTTATATTTAGAAAATGACATTAATAATAGTTTAAATGGAAAAAAAGAGTCTCACACACAAACGGAAAAGTTAAAAAACCATAAGTGTGGTTATTTAAAATATAAAAAAAATTTAACTGGTCATCTAAAACAGGTATGATAAATAAAAATGAAAAAAATTTAATCAATTAAAAGATTTAATTTTATTTTACAATAGTAAATATGAATTATAAAAAAATTATTCAGTCTCTTACAATAATGTTAAATTATCATAAGAAAAAAAAAAGTAAATCTAAGAGTTACTAAATATTTAATAGTTTAAATTATTAATTAAATTTTGATTTATTTAAATCAGTTAATTTTTAAAAAATTATATTTAAAAATGTAAAATATAACCAAAGATATATTTATTTATTTATTTTCAGATTTTGAAACATTTAAAAAAACCCAGTATTATTAAATCATTAAACGGAATCATATCTCCTTGGGACATCATGTCAAGTTTATTAAATACTGGAAATATAAAAACATTTTCAGAGGAACTTAACATGTTTATTACAAAATTACGAAGTTTGTCAGAATATTTAACTCTTATTACAGATAGAGAGTTAAATTCTGACGAAAAAAATAAAATGGTAAAGTTGTAATTATTTAATAACTTAATGTTAAGATAAGGTAATTTGATATTGATTTGTTATTATCATTTTTCTACTTATGATATAGTTGAATATTATAATATAGTTATGACAAATTTAGACTTAACAGATTTAAAATATTTAAGATTATTCAAATTGATAAAAAACTAAATTTTGGATAGCATTTATGAGATGGAAATTTTTAGATGAATAAAAATATGAATATTTTTTTTTGTGATAAATGCTACTTCAAATTGCAATTAAATAATTACTCATTGTTGTCAAAATTCTGAAAAATCTAGATGAAAAGTCAGAAAATTTTCCCTAGATATATCAAAAAAATGTCTTAAAATTATTAAGCTTATACTTTTAGACTATCATCTGAGGTAATTTTCAACATTTTTGAAGGTTTATCTCTTTCTAGCCTTTTTAGTTGTGCCTATGCAAATAAATATAATATGGGAGTTAATGAAATCACACCCCTCTTACATATATAATATAAAATGAGGTAGGGAATATTTGTTTAAAACTGACTTAAAAAAATATAAAAAAAGTCAGGAAATTTGATAATTTTGAATTTATGGCAACTATAATTACTGAACTACCTATATAAACAATAATTTTTCACTTGGTATGATAAACCTATATGTACAATATTAAATATGTATGACACAGTATTTTTACTTTTTACTGAATTTAGGATTATTAAAATTTTTAATTTTTGAAAATAGGTTTTTCATACCAAACAACGAATTATAAAATTAAATATAGTGAAAAATCTAATAAAGAACCTAAAAATATAAAATTTGACTTTGATCATCTCACAAAAATTGTCCAATTATTCCTGAAAAATAATGTTTTTTATTTGGTAAAACAAATAAACTAATTTTGTTTTTTTTTAGAAAGTAGATGAAACATTACAAAATCTTTTAAACATGCCAAAAGGAACATATAGGATGAGTTCTATTCCTAATGAATACGATGATATAACTCAAAATAATGATGTTTGGACAATAGATTCTACTAAATCTAAGGATTCTATTTCTCCAGCTCATATTCATTCTAGTCCTATTCATTTAAATTTATTTGACAGCCAAACTTCCAAAGTTGATTTCTTATTAAGTTCTAGTATAGAAGAGTCAATGTTATGTGATGAAAACAGAGCTGCATTGGAAAGTGTTGATGGTCTTGTATCTGAAAGGCTGCGTACAATGACTGATCATTTAGAAACTAATGTTCCTATTATAGGTATATTTTAAATAGTAATAAAAACTACAATTTATTATTGCAAGATAATTTTTTAAATTTATATTTTAACAAACTTCTATTATAATCGTATAAATATTGAATTACTAGGGTAACACTAGTTATTGATATGTGAACCAGCTCTGGGTAGTTTAATACCTAATAAATAATTTATTAATATTTTGAATATTAAATCAAATGTGAGATCTAATTAAGAAATAAAAGTCCACTTTTAAGAACCTTATAAATGACTATAAATATCAAAAATAAAAATTGCTAAAGATTGGACAATTGGCAATGACAGTGTCGTTACCATAGTAATGTTTAATGTTGATAAAAAAATTAATTTTATGTTATTTAAAGTTTACTAATTTTGAATCATATTTTTTTCAGATTTTCCTTCTTCAACAAGGACAACAGTTAATGTTTCTCAAACAGACACATTTATGAGCCATGGAGTATATGAAGTTTTTACAAATGATATTAATCTTGTTCCTACTTCAACTGAAGAATTTATCAAAAGCTTAGAACAATTTGAGCCTTTAAATGATACAGAAAATTCTTTAAATACTGAAACAAGAATGCTTGATTTTGAAGATTTACATCATACATTTAATTCTACAGATGACTTGTAATGATATTTTAAAATCTGTATAAAAAATTAGATGTTATACTATTTAAGTCTAATTCTTCTAAATATTTAATGATTGGTATTTAGTTACCAATAGTACTGCACAAATTTATTTTTCATACTTAAAAAAGAAGTATGTATATAATTGTTTTGTATTTTTATAATTTTATAAGTAATAATAATTGATTCCTATTAAGCTAATTAAAAATATTTTTGTTATTAATGTCTTTATACCTATACTGATGCGGAAATAATGTTAAATATTATTTGTGATTAAAGAATATATGTTGGACATACATAAATTATGTACTATGTTTTTGTACAACAGTTTGAAACACTTGCTAATATTTGCAAAATATTAGCTAGTGTTACAAACTTAATTAAAAGTTAAAAATAATGTTTTTAAGTATAATAATTCATAATTTTGAGATTTATTATTTTTCAATGATCCCAACACTTTTTCTTCAATCTGCGACTTTTGATAAATCTATGAAAACTATTAATTTTCTGACTTTTCATCAAAGTTATTTTAATAATCATGATCATTCATAACCTCTTACTATTATTTCTTCTTAATGCAATGTCAGATTTAACTGCTGTAAGCACTGAATATATTTCTGTCTTTTTATATAAATATATTTTATTGATTTATAACACTTAGCATGGATGCAACTAGATGAGAATTAGGGAGATAATTCTCAAACATTTAAAAAGTCACTTATGTGATATAATAAGAAAATATTTTTATATTTTAATAAGGTAAATATGTTTAGTCCACAGTTTTATTTTAGTTGGACCTATGTATTGAAGTGTATAGATATATGTTAATAAAAAAAATAATATAAATTAAAAACATATCTCCATTTAAAAATTTAACAATTTAAAAGATGATGTAGATCATAACAATAAAAGATATTTTTGAATAAATAATGTCTTGTACTTGTCAACTTTTGCATAATTTTTTAGTTTCAAAATTACTTACAATAACTTTGAAGTCAGTTTTTTTCAAAAGTTAATAAATAGTTATCTATATTCTAATAGAATATAGATGACCGATTTGTTGGTTTAAAATTAAAAAAAAAATTGTTATTTTACATCCTTGAGAATTAGCCATCCCTAAAAAATTACCTTCTTAAACGTTGCTTATTGCGTTTACTAGGAAATCCAGCACTGTCTTATTGCTTGGATATAATTTTCTAACTGAGTAATTAACTTACATATCAACTTCTTAATATCTGAGTAAGAATTACATAATTGTATATGATATTTTTGTTTCTCAATACCGGTAAAGTTAACATCTATTATAATAATTTATAGGTGCATTCACAGAAGATACAAATAAAAGATTGTTTTAATGGCGATGATAATTAAATCCTTAAGATAATTTTGAAAGGGGTATAAGAAAAAAATCTATTTTTATTAAAGAACAATAAACATGCTCTTAAGACGACCGAAAATAGTTATAACTCTTAAAAAATAATTAAGTATATTACTTTATTGGGTAACATACTACAGTTTATTTAGAAATTTTTCTTATGAATTCAATATAAATTATAGTATAATAACAGCATTTTTTAATTCTATATGTTACATCCAAAACTATTAATAAACAAAATTATTGTTAAAAATATTTTTATGTATTTTATAACGTTGTAAAAAGAAACAAACTATTTAAATGATTTCTAAAATTGTGAACATATTTTATTAGTGGTACTTTTGGGTGCGATGATTCTTGAATTTACCATAATTAAGAACATAGAAGAACAACATGGATCCCGTAATAATATGTAATACTGGAGCAATTGTTACACGCTTAGGCTGGACATACTTGTGTGACCATCTCCAGTAAGCACGGCTAAAAGCACCCACAATAGCTTGCGGTGATTTGTTGCGACGAGATATCCATTGGCCAATCTACGAAATAAAATTGAATAATGTTATGTTAACATACCTATTGATAAAATATTAGATAATACCGAGATTTAAATAAGTTATGATATATAAATATATTACATAATAATTATGTAAGGAATATCTTACAGTTTAATAAAAAAATGAAGTGAAATAATAGCATTAGTTTATAAAATAATGAATTACCTCTTTGAGTTTTACTTGCGAAAAAGGAGTATCCGGTTTACCATAGTAGCGAGCTGGATCATAAGGTCCGTGTATTTTAGGGTTATACTCGGCCGGATAATCACCGATGGCCATGATGGACTTTATAATAAATGTAAACCGAAAAACTGAAAAAGTAGACTTGCAACGAAATAAAGTATAAATAATCAAATTCTCGTTTCTACCTCTGCAAAGGTTAAAAACGATGCCCGTCGCAAGCTAAAACTTAGCCATAGTTTTATCTGCTAAATTATCAGCTGTATAATCAGTGTTACCATTTTGGACATTAAACTGCAAAAAAATTATTATCAGAGTGGATTATAAATGTTTCATTTTCAGTGTCATAAAGTGCGGAATTTTTGAAATTTCATTATACAATATATTAATATTTATGTGGTGGTAACTTGACCTTAGAGATATAATTGAAAACTGATTATTTTTATATAAAAATAAAAATTGATAGATAAGAATATGACTTCAGATATAGAAAGTATTTTGTAAATTACAAAAATAAAATAAATAAATACTTTTCAATATTTCAAGTTAGGTAAAATTTCCATGTTTGAAATGCTTCAACTTGAAATTTTCACTTGAAAATAATTAAAACCCAATTTTGTTTGATTAAAGAAATGTTGCAATAATTCTTTACTGATATTGTCCATACGTTTATATAAGTGATAATATATATCGACTATTTTTAGCAAATTAATTATACATTTTTATACATGTCGAGGATTATTATAAGCGTATATGTTAATTGAAGTATAAAATCTATTGTACATAAATTAAGTATACAATGAATTTCCATAACTGAAATAAGTCATGAATTCATCTTAAGCTATCGAATTTAGGAGACTATTTGAAATAAAACAATTATTTTAACAAATAAGGAAATTGTTTGACTAAGATGTGTTAAATTTAAAAAGTACTAAAGCCAAAAGCTAATTTTTATATTTCTTTTTATAAAAAGCTTTCACTTTATAAGTCCAGTTGGGCTTATCTAATGTTTCTTTTTGTTTAAATCATCAATTTATGATATGCCACTTAGTATATAATGAGTAACTAATATCAAACTCTGAACTTTGATAAAAAAAATTACGAAACCATTTGAAGAACAACAAAAATTAAATATTATCAGTTTTTGGGTACAAAAGTTTGATGTTGTTGTTTTTTTTTAACATAATTGGTATTAAACAACATTTTTGTATATTGTTGTTATAAAAATTTATAGGTAACTCATTATCTATCGATTAACATTTACTTCAATAATATAACTAAAACTAATTAAAAAAAAAACAAGTTATATAAGTATACAATGTATAAACAAATCTATTTATTTTTTACAAATGAGACATTAATAAAGTATAACAAAAGAAGGTAGTTGCACAACTAAGATTCCTAGCAACCCCGTACGCAAGGCAAACTTAATTCAGGTACCATGTAAAGAAAATACAAATAGTTAGTATGTTTGCCTAACTTGAACGTAGTAGGGGCCGAGTCAGAACGTTCATTATACTACCGAAGAAAAGAATAACTATATTTACATTAAATTTATTAATATAATAAATCATGTTTTTAGCAACTAGGATACGGAAACAAAGGTTTTGGCCTGTTAGTTGTTATATCTGTGGTAGTCTTCATTGTTGATCCTATAACAAACAGATAAAATTTTTAATTTATTGATGAACATAAGACATTATACTTTTGATTGAGGATAAAAGTTTTATAAAGCATAGAGAATTTTAATTAGTGTACCCTTTATTGTTTACACTCCTATATTGGAGCAATAATTCAGTATAAAAAAAATAAATATATTTGATGAACCGGTTTAACGAAAACACAATTTCTTTGCACCTTTCGTGGTATACAATCTTAGCTAATAAGTCAGTTTACACTATATCATGTGTTCTATTTAAGTACGTTGCTATTAAATAAAACCTAATTCACTACAGAATCTCGGATCCTGGTTCGCAAATATTAGTTTTTAATTAGGACGCCGCATTTATAATTACTTTAAATCCTTAAAAAATATTTCGAATTAAAACCAGTTATCGAAATAAAAGAAAAATCAACAGGTTTATTTTTACACAATTTAAAACCTAAATCCGTAAAATAAAGTTTTTGAAAAAATATATACAGATCACGTGAGTTATAATATCGCTCAGTTTTGTCTTGGGAGGAGAGATAAATAATAAATGTTTTTACTGCCCCTCCAAAATATAGCTTTATCATAGGGAAGGTTTCTATCCTCCAAATCTCATTGCGAGAACGTCCATGTGCTATCATATTCATTAATTTGTATTGTTTTCGAAAAATTTTACATATTATGTAAAGTACATCGATTACATTGTATACAATATTATATGTAGCATTGATATAAATTTTTACGAAAAAAATTTTGTAGGATATTATAATAACGTTTTTAATAAAAAAAAAATCATCTTTCCCCGAACGTTAACTTGTTTCGCTCTTCCTAAATATTTTTTTTTCATTCAACTATAGAAACACCATACAGCGGCCCAAAAAATAATTTAAACTGGACAAAAGCTAATTTTGATCACTTTAATTAAAGTGAAATCAATTCAAATTTTTTTTTTACCTGAATTATCCAAAAATAAAAAACATTTTTTTTTCATATCTGTGTGAATGTTAAAGCTAAATATACACAAAACGAGGGTATACAATTATCACATTATAGACTTTTTTTTAGCACATTTTATAAAATTAAACATGTTGTATATATATATATCTTCTTAACCAATAACTATAGAAGCATGATTATTATTTTTTTCATGGTCAAGACCATAAAATACCGCTACTTTAATAAAGCAAATATGTATTTTTTTCCCTGATTTTCTACTGAAAAGTAAAAATCCTGACCCATATTAATTTTGACCAGCTTAAATTACGTTTTGGACTACAATGTATCGGAAAGATAGTAAATTTTAAGTTTCATAATTAATTATGTATAAGTTAAGAATTATTTGCTTATTTAGAACATTACAACATTGACTTTAGCAAAAACATTTATTGTTTTGAAAAAAAAAAATATATATATATATATATATATAATATAAAACGTTCATCATAATATACCGTTTTGAAAAAGTTATTTCTAGTAGGTAGTTGTTAATACTCACTGCTGTCAAAAACGCCCATGTGATAGGTATTCCTTTTTGATTTTGGTAATGATCCCTTATTTTTGTACAGCTGTTATTGGTCTGGGCCTGCTATTCGACCCATCCAGACCAGGTCGACGACCGTTACTGGGTACCGTTCTAAAAAAAAAAAAATATTTTCACGTGTATCACGAGCAATAGCATATTTGAAGAATAATCATACACGCTCTTGACTTTAAATAGAATCGAACAGATTATACTAATTTAATTAGTAGAACAGAATCGATACAAAACAAATGGGTATATCGATTAACTTACAGTTATGATTAAGTCGTTTCAAGTATTTCCAATACACTTATTACAACGATTAGCTTAGCACCATTAGTCAAGTAGAATATTAAAATATGATCAACTCGTATGAATCCGTACGATTTTCACTATATCATACGGTTATCGCCAAGTTAATTAATTTTTGTGAGTTAACGATCCGGTAGATATAATCACGCCGATTTCAATAGAAAATCAATTAATTTTAATGAATTATCAAATGGAAACAACGTCAACTAGTTTGAAAGAATTTACACACTTAAAGGATAGAAGAAGAAATAAAAACACACGACTTACCTTGAAGCTATCATCCTAGCGAGTGTGTTCTAGCTCAGTCAAATGAGATCAGTCGGTCCACAAATACTCTCTACCGTCTTTTGAGAGCACCGCGAACGTGATGTTAACTGTTCGCCGGTATCTAGATGTCTGGCGGCCTTGACCCTTAACTCAGCGTAGGTACGTTCAAAAATTGTTTCTTTTTTTTTTTCCTCTCTTCCGTCCATTCTTTTTTTTTTTTTCTGTTCTTCTTTTTTTCCTCTTTCGTTCTCTTTTCTTAACAAGGTACCCGGAGAAAGGTACGAAACGGTAGCTGTCGCGGGGTATTAAAATTACGGTAATATCTACAAATTTTACGTCACGGTACCGTTATAATACGGTTTCAGACCCATTTCAAACTGTCCCGTTATATTGGCTACTGGTTATGAAAACATAAAACGTCAAAAATGTATCAGTTTTAGGGGATTTTTCAGATTACTTTACAGTTACAGTACTTTCTCCCCGGAACTTCAACGACCTGTTCCGTTAGTTTCAGATAAAAAAGAAAATGATATATTAACACAGTTACAGACGTACCTAACCTGCTTTGTGTTTTCCATTGTGTCGGTTATTGAGTACCGCTGATCTAAATAGGCATCGCACGTTTTGGCAAAAGTAATAAAATAATAACAACGATCATGTAGCTTACTCTTGAGTGAGCAATAATTGTAAATTTCTAACATGTCTGGCAACCTAAGGATTCATTTTTGTTGACTACAGTTTTTTAATGCACCGGATTTTCAATGGTTCATTTGATCGGATTTGTTTTCATGTCTACATTTATAATCATAAAACTCAATAATTATAAATTTAAAAAGTTCAAGTGAACTGATGTTTGGTAAATACTACAAAACCCCCGTAAGTGTAATAAATGCAACGCTATTTATTTTTTGATTTCTTCAGTTGATTTAAAAAACAACTGATTCTGAACAACAATCTGAACAAAAATTTTAATTAGTTAAATATTTTAATTATAATTTTCTCTACCTAAAACATATTTTCATGTAATATTTTGTACAATTTTTTGAATTTTTGAGGTTCTTAGTTCTCTCTCACTCTGCCTATACTGTCTACTAAAGTATTATCAAACTTTATTATTTAGGCTGTTTGACAAATATTTTTATTTATTATCCGAATTTGAACAAAGTCATCTACATAATTAGTCGAGGGCTTAGTATTTCAGAATTTCAAATTAATTTCCAAAATTCATTTAAATATAATTGTATATTCGTTTAAAAATATTTTTAATATGAAGTGAATTAAACAAAACTCACCCAACTCCTAAAAAATAATTTGCCCTAGTTACTCCACAATAGTCAATAGATTCTAAGTTAAAACTCCACTCCACTAATTTGTACTGGAAACGTTTAAAATTATGTATAAGTCGAGAGAAATGCGTTATAATGACCTACATAGTTCATTTTATTTATGGAGTTGATACAATAACGATTTGTAAAAGAAAGTCTAACTTT